AAAAATCTCAAACCTGCAGGGATATAACAGTCTAATGTTATTATAGTTATCAGTTTATACATTAATAGTTTGTTTATTAATCAGAAAAATTTTCTTTCTGGCTTATATTATCTCAAAGTCTCAAATCTTCTAACATGCCCCAACTGTTCAGCCAAGGAAATCATCATCCACTAACAAAACACATGCACACAAACACATAAAGGCAATATTCATGCCTGAAATTTTTGAAACATTTATAAGGAAGTGTCCAAATTTAGTAGCCCTAAAAGTGTGATGGTGAAGCCACTTAGAGTCCACTTAAATAATAAAGCAGACAGAAATACTGCTTAATTGTGTATTCTTTTTTGGTAAGTGACATAAATAACAACCTTAGATGAGACGGGTATTTGTGAGGATAAATCATAGTTATAAAATAACTAAAACCTGATCCAAGAAATTTATTATTGGGCTGAAAATAAAGAAACAATTTGGAAGTAACAAATAGTCATGTGAAAGTGATGCCAATGAAAAGAGTAATGAGCTAACTTCTATCACCTCTGCTATCATTCCAGTCAGAAATATAAAGGCATTTGAAAGCCATAGGGGTCATCTATTAGCAGAAGGCTCAAGAACCCAAATGAACAAGAAATCATAGATTTTATTTTTGATTTTTTAATTGAAAAATAAAGAAACCTGGTTCTCCCTGTTAGATATATAATTAAATATTTCTGTTCCCATTATCATCTACAAGATACACAGCTTAGAACAAAGATGTTTTGCATTTCAATTCTATAACTCCCCAATTCTATTGTACAATCAACAATTTTCTAATAGCCAAAAGACAAAGGATGCAACATGACACTGTATACTTCTCAAGCCAGAGTGAGTGGGATCAAATGAAGTGTTTGTTACCGCCCTTTGGCAGATAGTTAGAGAAAATAACATTAACCAATTCAAAAAAAGGAAGTATAAGAGTGAAAAGGAATAAAGCACTAATCTCCAACACTAAATTGCTAAACATGTTCTCTATTTGGCAGCTTTTGAGGGATTAAGAATATTGGAAGTAGGGCTGGGGATTTAGCTCAGTAGTGCCTCTGCTTGCCTCGCAAGTGCAAGGTCCCAAGTTCAATCCCCAGTACCAAAAAAAGATATTGGAATTAGCATATTAAGGTAAAATATGCTTTCATTTCAAATATTTTATATAGCCATTATGAAGAGAATGAGCAGAAAGCATTTCTTAATTTCTGTTTTGAAAAATACACTCACTTCTCAGAGTTAGCATGAATATTAAATACTTTATATTAAGCATCCAGCACAGGGCCTGAAACATAGAAGGCTCCAATGGTAGCTTCCTTTATCTACACTAATTAGGGTACTAGAGATACTTGACAACATAGTAAATACTTAAATGTACTCAGTCCACAAAGTCAATAGAGGTCTAAAATTTCCATCACTTTATTTTTCCATTGCCAATGCACATAGACCTGCATTTTGATTATCTTTAAGTATTTATGACAACTTTCTGTAACTCACAAGATGATAGCAAAGTTTCCTCATCGCTGCCTTCATCTCCTTGTTCCTGAAGGTATAGATAACAGGATTCAGAAAAGGAGTGAGAACTGCATCAAAGATAGCAAGAAATTTGTCCAAGTGTGATGAAGGGAAGGGCCAGGTATAGAAGAATATTAATGGCCCAAAGAATAAAACCACCACAGTGACATGAGCTGACAAAGTAGATAGAGCCTTGGATAAACCACCTGAAGAGTGTTTCCGAACAGTGACCAGAATGAAGACGTAAGAAATGATCAGAATGAAGAAGGACCCTACAGAAATTAGTCCACTGTTGGCTGTGACCAAGAACTCCAGTTGATTAGTCTCTGTGCAAGCGAGTTTAATGAGCTGAGGAAGATCACAGTAAAAGCTGTCCAGTACATTTGGGCCACAGAAGGGCAAGTCTACAACAAAAGCCAACTGGGCCACTGAGTGGATGAGGCCAAGGATCCAGGCTGTCGCCAAAATTGAAAAGCACATTCGTGAGCTCATGATGGTCAAGTAGCGCAGTGGCTTACATATTGCCACATATCTATCAAAGGCCATGGCTATGAGCAGCACCATTTCTGTGCCCCCAATAGCATGAATGAAGAAGATCTGAGCTATGCAGCCACCGAAAGAGATGGTTTTGTGTTTTCTGAAAAGGTCATAAATCATTTTGGGAGCTGCAATAGAGCAAATGCCCAGATCAAGAAATGAGAGATTGGCCAGCAGGAAGTACATGGGTGAGTGTAGGTTAGAGTCAGAAGTCACAGAGAACACAATGAGGAGGTTTCCCGTCAGACTTGCCATGTAGAACACAGAAGAAAAGAGGAAAAGAAGAAGCTGGATTATCCACAAATTGGAGAGTCCCAGGAACACAAACTCAGACACCACAGAGTGGTTGGCTCCATCCATTGCCCCAGAGGGCAGAGCTGTGTCTCATATTACCTGAAAGAGACAATAATGATAATCACACTTTGTGGGGAGTCATTAACAACTACACAAGAGTAAAATTGTAAAGAAAAAATACCTCACAGAGCCAAAATACTTTTTCATAACACTTTAAATTCTAGAATCAGAAAATACACAGTAACTTGTTACAAGCCATTTCTTCTAATTTCTAAAACTTGCTAGAATGCTTTAGATTTGGAGACAAAGAGTAGGTGAAACTAGGGCATGATTCTGAAGAAAGGTTATGAGTAGAAACAGAAATAATCTTGATTTTTCTCTCATGGTTTGTTGCTGAACCCATGTAGTTCCCGAAACCTCAGAAAATTTCTCACTACTTTTTTAACCCCTTGCTTCTATATTGCATGTTGTTACTCTCATTAAGTTTCGTTCTATCCCAATTTTTCAAATGATATTCACTTTTAATACTTCAATAACTGTATAGTGCACACTGGGCATGGTAGATATCTGGTAAATGTTGATTAATTTTGGGGGGGCTTTTTGAGACAAGGTCTTGCTATGTACTTCAGGCTGGTCTTGAACATACTATGTAGCCCATGCTGTCCTTGAACTCGCAATGATCCACCTGTCTCAGGCTACCAAGTTGTGGGGTTAGAGGCTTGAACCACTGCATCCAGCCTGTATATTGATTCAAGATGATTATGATAAATGGAAAATAAATGATACAGTAACTATATAATAATATGCTAATTGAATCACAAAAGAAATTAAAGAAAGGGAGATTAATGTAAAGAGAGGCCTTTGATGGAATATGGCATATAAGTACTTACAAAGAGAGGACAAGAAAAGAGAGAAAATAATGTGGAAGCCCTACAAATATCCCACTGTAGCAGTCCAGGTCAGAGAAGATGTTACAAAGTTTGATCTATGATCACTTAGTAAAGACAAAATCAGAAAAGAGATTTATGTCAGAGAATTTAAATGTGAATTCAATAAATACAATGTAGCAAACAAAATTTTATATTACTGAAATTTATAGAAAATTGTCCAAGCCGTGTTAACATTTCACAGTTCATGAGAAGGTAGAGAAACCATTGCACTTGGAATCGGAACAGCAGAATCGAGTCCTAGCCCTATGCCTGTGGGAACTTCAGTAAGTTCCTTCTTGTACCCCCTCCACACTCAAATCACTCCTTTAATTTTCATTATTTGTAAAATAAAGGGACTGAGGCCAGTGATGTTAACTAATCCTTTCAAAAATAACATTTTTATTCTTTTATAATGCAAAACTATTCCAGTACGTAATGAAGTTCACCCTAATGACATTCTTCTCACTGGACTGTTACTGTATTTATTGTCTTGTCCTTTCTTAGCAGATAATTATGTTTTGTATCCCATAGAAGTCTTTATCGTCACATTAATTTCTCTCTTCTCTAATTGCTTCTGTGATTCATTTAGCATATTGTTGTACATTTGCTGTATCATTTATTTTGTTATTTATCATAATCACCTGTAATCGATCAACAAATCTTTGCCATGCCCAATGGACACTGAAAACTTATTGAAGCTTTAATATATTAATTACTGCAAGGCTTCTACATTTGTACACACACATAAAATGTAAATAATAAAAATGTACTGTATTTAAAAATACAAATAACTAGTTAGATCATATTATTTCTGAAACAAATGATATCCATGAATCATCTTGGTCAGGGCTGTCTTCAGAGAATAATCAAAATCTGTACTGCAGACTAAGACTTAGATCTAATTTATGTAGATATACAGATTCACATTTGAGCTTAAAGAATTATTGAAACGGGGAATAACTGGAAGCAACTTGGTGAAGTGGTTGATAAGTTGTCTATGGAAATAATGATAACAACCAGAAACAAAACAGTAATTACCGTGTGCGACAGAACACAACTGCTCCTTTACATACCCTAGCTTGTTTGATATTTGTAAAAACCCATGAAAGTTGGTATTATTAACTGCTTTTAATTGCTAGAGAAGTTTAAAACAAGATAGAAGTAATGCAACCAACAGTATGTTGAAGAACTCATATCGATGCTCTGGTCTGCCTCTTATCCAATATACAGAGAATACCTTGTTTTTTTCTCGTTACTTTCCAATTGTATGATGTGCTTTAGTTCCTTTCTGGGTCCCTCTATTCTATTCTCAGCACATCAGGCAGATCTTAATGTGAGAGAAGGCACATTTGTCAAGGGTCACAAGCACCTGGGTTTCATAGTCAATGTCAAATTCAACCATAATTACTTCTACTTTTTTAAATAAAAATAGTAGAACACAAATCCATGCACCATCTGCATTCAAAGCACCTTGGTTGAGTTCTCAGACAGCTATCATCTTGATCCACATGGAGGCTTTCAGCTTCTCATTAAAAAGACTTTGTTCTTACTGCTGTCTAATGAATAAAGCAAAGGCACTGTCTTCATGTCAAAATAATGCAATGAAGCCCAGAACTAATCCAAGTGCATTCTATACACACTTAAGACATTGGCTCCCAAACAGTCTATTTCCCTTTTTTTGGATCTCACACTGCAATAGAAAGAAAGTTTGAAAGGAAAGTAATTTCAGTTTCTAACTTCATGTTGTATTTCTTCTCATTGCATTGATTCGCACTCATTAAGCTCAGCTGAAGCTGCTTCCATCCTAGTTTCAGCTGCATGGTTAAAGGTAGCATTTAATTGATTTCTATACAAAATGGCCATCTCACTAGAAACATCTGTTTAACACTAGCCCTTTGGGACTTCAACACTACACTCCAATATCTACTCTCTTTCTATAGTTGTCACCAATGTGCTCATTTAAAGACCAAGGATGTAACTATTTCCAGACTTAATCATATTCAACCATCTTCTGGTTACAACTAGCACTACTCTCTACATAAGCATTTGTAAAAATGCTACTATTTAGGGAGATACAGCTAATTGGCACACAGGGGAGAACTGACCAAATGATACTACAGACACTTAGGATGGCTAATATGAGCTCTTTTATCCAAGGGAGTTGTCACTCAGAATCCTAGAAGCTGAAATGAGTCTCATAAGAGAAGTAGGAGGGAAGAAGAGAGATCAAAAATGCAAAGACATTAAAAACCCAAAATATATAAATAGTAGTCAATCTAAATAGTATTATACTCTAAAACACAAAGAACAGACTATTTCCTTGTTTTCAGAGTGCCCACAGAGACCTCTATGTGACCATATATGATACCACAATAAACTTCAAAAATGCAAATTGTTTTTTTCATAACCTTCCGCTTCCCTCCCTCCTACTACAAACATGTACTAATTTTAAAAACAAAAGAATGAATATGATACAGATTCACACACAATCTAAGGAAACCAGTTTAAGAATTATATCAAAAAATAAAATAAATATTAAATAAAACTAAACTCCTAGACATAACACACAAGTTGCAAAGTATGCTACAAATCTATTTTTGTTAAAATTGAGAAAACTTTCAAGTGGAATGTGTATTAGGTAGCATGAATGATTTGATATGTGTTTTGTTAAACAAAATAATGATTTTTAAATATTTATAAATGCACAATATTGTGGAAATATTCACAGTAAAGCATAACAAAAATACTATGGAACATCAATTCAATGTGTTCAGTATTATATTGAAAGTCCTGGATAAATCTATAAGATAAGGAAAATGCATAGAGATTGTGGCATAAAACTGTTTTCTTCATAGAAATGAAAGAAAAACATGATAATCTATGCACAAAAGTCTGAAAATTTATTATAACAGGAAACTCTCAATTTAAGAAAAGGGTGGGACATATAGGCACCGATAGCAAGGCTATCAGGTATTATAATACCTTCAGCCTTACTCTTTTTACTTGAAATTTATTTGACTATCCTGGGTGAAAAGTTAATAAAGTTAATATACAAAGTTAATATAGAAAACTCAATCATTTTTCTATGTACAGGCAGTGAGTAAATGGAATTTGGAATTAAAAACACAATAACACAAGAAATAAAATGAATATTAAAAAATCAATAGTTTTTCTATGCACCAATAATGAGAAACAAATCAGAAAACAATTCCACTCACAATGGCTTCAAAACTAATAAATACAGAAAGATTGACCTCACAAAATAAGGGAAAATATGGAAAAATCACAGACAATGAAGGAAGAAATTGAAGAAAATACTAGAAGATGGAAAGATTTCCCATGTTCATGGATTGACAAAACTAATAGTGTTAAAATGTTCATATTACCAAAAGTGACCTACAGATTCAATGCAATCCCCATCAAAATTTGAATGGTATTCTTCATAGAACTAAAAGAATGTCTTAAAATTCGTATGGCAACACAAAAAACCCAGAATAGCCAAAGAAATTATTCATAAAGAGAGCAAAGCTGAAGGTATAATATTACAAAACCTGATTTTAAAATATACTACAAAGCCATAGTACCCATAACAGCATTATACTGGCACAAAAATAGACATATAGATCAATGGAACAGAATACAGGACACAGAAACATTCTGGAAGAAAGAATAAAAAATATATGTTTGGGAAAAGACAGGCCCTTCAACAAATGGTGCTGGGAAAACTAGATATCCATATGTAGAAGACTGAAACAAGATGCCTAACTCTTGCCCTGTACAAAAATCAATTCAAAATAGATCAAAAATTTACTTACAAGACCTGAAACTGTGAAACTGCCTGTCTTCGTTGCTATCTTATTTCTGGGATGCAATACATGATACCTACAACTTTTATGGAGAGATTTATTTTGTTTTTTTTACTTCATCAAACATATGACATTATCCAATGTTTATTAAGAACCTATTACCTGACAAGAATATAATAAGTAATTTATTCTTTAATTTGAAATCTAATTTGTTTTTAAAAGACACATTGCCATCAACTCCCCAGAAACAACCTTGGCCTCATGTCAAACACATTTTTCCCATCGTTCAAAAAAAAAAAAAAGGATTCTTGAAAGATGACTTCCAGACCAC